TGTCCATGTTCCTTGGTGTCCTCGCCATCTTGTCCGTTGGATGTAGCTGCTCTGTGGCCTTCATCCAAGTACCTGATCACACATAATGTTTCTGTTTCAGGTAGCAGCCATGTCACGTGAGTGGAAAATGGTAGTTCGGAGAGGAGCGAGTTCACCTTATCTTCGATAGCTTTTGCTCGGGCTCTTGTCATGGGTCCAAGTGGTGTCGTGGGAGATGTAGATACATCCATGGGGATGATCGTGGGTAGGGCTGCAAGAAAAGCTCGAGGCTCGTGAGCCGCTCGAGATCAACTCGTTTTTTGACTCGACTCGAGATCGACTCGAAAATAAACAAGCTGAGTTTGAACACTTTATGTAGCTCGACCGAGAAATGAGCCGATCTTGAGCCAATGTTGGCTCGATCGATTTTAGCTCGATAGCTCGACAGAGTATCATTATGTTAAATGATCATGCCATATATTAAATGAAAATAAGATAATTTATTACCATATATGTTGTTCATATTTTTTCTCCATTTTATTTACCAACGAACATGGAAACTTAATTAAGTGCAGAGAAGATTTAGGCCTAATTATGGCACGTGGTTGATTATGTGTTAAATATCCTATATTTTTGGCGAAGGTTCCCTGCATATTCACCTTAACTTTTTGTTTTTCATCCATAGATTTATAATTTTTATCATCTCATTTAGCTCGAAACTAGCTCGAGATCGACTCGAGATCGTTACAAGCTGAGCACGAGTCATGTTCTACAGCTCGATCATGAGCTTCACTTAGTTTGAGCTCGCTCAAATTTTCATATGAGTTGAGCTGAGCCAACTCCAACTCGCTCGAGTTCGACTCGTTTGCAGCCCTAATCGTGGGATGCTCCGCATCACTTACGATAGTATATAATTAGCACTATCAATACACTAACATTCCATAGTTGTTTGCCTATAGTACCAGTGTACATGGTTATGGCCTGTAGCCCATTGATGTTAGCCTGCCTAAATTACAGATTTATTTGAGTAATAAAAAGAAGAGCACAAAAAGGAAAAACAAATTCATTTAAATTTGTTAGTCAAGTCAAAACCTACAGGAACCTGAATTTTTTTCCGGTTAAAGATATACTAGAGGCTAACGCGCGCTTCGCCGCTCCGTTCTTCAGTCGTGGGATTAACTCTTTTGTACCTAGTAGACTATGGTAATCGGTTGTCTTGTTTAGATTTTATCTGTGTTGGCTTGTGTTTAATTTATGTTCTAGCTGTGTTTAGTGTTTGTATACCGTGTCAAGTTACTATTAGAGACACTGTTTGTTCCAAAAGGAGAGTAAAGTTGTTTGGTGCATGGTTGTGGTGTCTTTATACGTTCCGGTTTTGGTGTCAGCCCGTGGTGGTTGTTTGAGCCTTTCGGGAGCTCCTATTTCACATTCAAACTGTGGAATTGCTGATATAGCGCTCACATGGGCTGCCCCACGAAAGCTCTCGTTCGCTAAGTTTAGCTCCCTGCTCCTCTCGTGTGCTTAGTTGTTTTCCCGCTCACCCCATGTCTAGCTCAAAAAATAGGCTAACTTTTTTAATCAAATATTTTAGCTTAATTAACAAATGTCCAAGGATTTTTAAAAATATGGTAAATTTTAAAATCATGAATTTTAGAAAAAAAATCATGATTTTTTTTAAAATGGTCACAATAAAATAGGTTTTCAAACTTTTTAAAAGTTCAAACTTAAAAAATGGTCTTGAAATTTAAAAATATTTGTGTTTAATATTAATGAATCCGAGTAAAAGTGAATTTAAACAAATGTTTGTTTTTTAATGTTTACAAAATTTAATAAGCGCTCATGAATTAAATGGGAAAGAATAAAAAATAAAAAAGAGAAATAAACTTTACATCAAACAACCTTACAAGCAGGGCACTCAGTGACCCCATAATCCCCGAATCACCAGAAGGCTTCAAATCATGGGAGCTTAGTATCTCTATAGATTTAGGTGCATAAGAGATACTAAAATTGTGAAATGTGTAGGGTAATCTATCTTACGAATCACCCAGGAAAAAAGTCTTAAGATTACTTGCCAACAGAAGAAATAACCCTTGTGGCTATATCCTACATCATAATTCAGATCACAAGAAAAGATGGATCAGGTTGTTCCCCTCAGAAACTATAAACTGACTTGCATGTAGCAATCACAAAGACTACTAAATCAGTCTATAAATTTGATTGTACACATTCATGCAATATTGTAGAGAGAATAACATGACTCACATGAGCTTACAAAACTTTGCTGTTGTACTAACCTCGCTCCATCAGTTTTCTCATGCTTTATAATTTAAGCATTGTCCCTTATTTCAGTCAGGCTACAGAACAGAATCGAAGACAAGAGGCAAGAGACAAACAGGGGATTCCATCCAGTGAATATGAAGGGGATACATACCTCTGGTGTAGCCGAGGCAGGCGAAATTGGACGGTTGGACAGATGGTCTTCGATTAGCCACATGTTGAAGTGTATATGTGGATTGTCTGGATGGTTGGACAGATGGATGGATGGAAGTCAACATGTGGCTAGTACATGAAGCTTAAGTCGACACTTCTTCCTCCGGCGAACTCAACGCTGACATTGTACGTTGTGTCAAAAAAGCAATTTGGATAGGCTTTGATGGAGCTTATGGTCCAAGGACGCAATCTGATGGAGATTCCAGCCGAGGACCGCTCCTTCTTATAGCAAGCAACTCAAATCCAGGTCGGGCACTCCATTGCTAGGTGTTGGACAAGGACACGGACTCCGATCGTCCATCCAAATCATGACACGGGAGCAGCTCGTTGGAGATTGAGAAGGATACGACGGAGGAGGCCGGAGAGGATTGGCGGCGGCAGACATGTCACATTGAAGCGCACCCGCGGCCGGCGTACCCACCAGAAAATGTTCCCCCTTCTGTCCTCCATCAAGCGCAGCAAGGATGGCTGTCTGGCAACAAGGGCACCGCCCATGAACCTCTCCTGCTCCGCTGGCACCGTCCCTGAACCTCTCATGCTCCGCCGCGTCGTGCCTGAACCTCTCCCACTCCGCCTGCCCCTCAACCTCTCCTGCTTCGCTGCGGCTGGAAAGGAAGCAGGAGACGGTTGTAGCCGTCCGGTGACAAGGGCTCAACCGGCTTCTCCCGCTCCGCCGCGCCGCCCCTTCTGCTGCTGCTCCGCCCAGCTCCGCCCGCACCTCACCTTTTTCAACGAACCGTTTTTATTAGAAGAAGGACTACGGGTTGTATTAAAAACACATGGGGGTTTAGCAAAAGCGCGACGACAGTGAGCTGACGGGCAGAAGCGATAATCGCTTTATTATTAGGGAAAGAAAGAAAAGATGTCTGTACAGTAGACCCACCCTATTCTCCTAACCTCATCCTATCCCCCTCCCCTCCTCTCACACACACAAAACTTATCCATAACAATATTCATATGAAATTTCCATATCCATTTCCATATATACATGCATGCATATATAAATTAATTTCATTATTCATATGTGTAGAGGTGCATATGGTACCCAAATAAGAATAGGATAGATATGTCAAAAGAAGGTCTGATTACAACTATTCATTGTTAAGTTTCATGCACTAGTTAACACAATAAAAGTCTGAACTAATGGAACAGATTAGACAATCCATACACTTCAACACCCCCTCTCACGTGTGACGCGGAAAGACGATACGTGAATAGACTCATAGATATGACTCCAGAGGACTATACATGGGCACAGAGGGGGCGAGGGCAAGATTTTTTTGATAAATTGCAAAAGTCAGAACTTGAACTCAATATCTTAGCCCCTGATACCCCATGTTAAGCTTCATGTACTAGCCACATGTTGACTTCCCGTATCACATGTGAGAGAACGTGTTGAAGTGTATATGTGAATTGTCTAGCCTTTTTCATCATTTCAGACTTTTGGTTCCATTGGTTAGAGTCCAAAATGGTGGAGTGCGTCGCCGGGAGGGGAGGAGCGGCCTGGGGAGACGGCCGGAGGAGAAGCTGTCGGGGTGTGGGTAGGTGTGGGCAGCACAATGACAGTGAGGAGGAGGCGGCAGGGGATCAGTATGTATAAGAAATAATTCAGGTCAGATCAGCTAACGAGTGCTTACGGCCGGCAACTTGGCAAAACAGTCCACGTGGTGAAAAGAAAAAAAATATCTTACAAAAACTATGCCAAGTATGGTAATGTGGGAGCTTGACAAACTCGGCGGTAATGTGGGAGCTTGACAAACTCGGCCCACCATGACAGAGTACACAACAACCGATGTTGTCGTCACATGGCACAAACTTTGCCGAGTTTTTTTTTGATTTGTTTGGATTGCTTACCACATGTTTCATGTGGTAAACTTTGCCGAGTTTGGCCTGCAAGAAACTCAGCATAGTTAGTATAAGCCGAGTTTATTTTGCTTACCGAGTTCCCTTTACCTAGCTCTCAGCAACGGAATGCCTCTGCCAAGTCATTACCAAGAACCGTACTCGGCTTACGTTGTTTTTTTTCGAGCTCCCGCAGTTCGACTCTCGGCAAAGATAACAACACTCGACAACGACCAATTTCCAAGTAGTGACACACAAAAAATACAAGTCTAAAAGGCAGAAGTATATTTTGTCAAAAGAAAACAAAAGTAAAAGCAGAAATCTGGATATGAATTTGTGTCATACATCTCAGTGCCAACATAGCATGACCATCAGAAACGAAACGACGCCAAGAGCGGCCCTTGTTACAAATTTGAGCATGGAAATAGTGTGCACAATGTGCATCGACGAAGAATAACCACGAGAAGCTCAGAGTAATTGATGTAGGGACGACCCTTGGACTTGCGTAACGCAGATCATGTAGGAATAATATAAATAATACTGTACCCTATAAAACTTGGGGAAATCAAATCAGCAGATAAACCAGCAGCAGGTAGTCTCGCGTCTGGAACATGAAAAGACTGCTGGGCACGCATGGGCTTGTTCATGGAAGAGAAAACTAGGATGCACCGGCCGGAGAAGGCTATGCTTCAGAAAAGATCCGCTTTTCTTTTCTGCTGTTCTTGCTTCCACCTTGGCTGCTTGTAGAACTCCTCCTTGCTCATACCAAATACAGTCTGGAATTCACTGTCCGACAAATATGTCTGCAAAAGCATATATAGTGGAATAAGCCTTTGAAATCCGGCAGGTTATAGATTTCTATGGCCGACTTTATTATCATTAAAAAAAAGGCTATGAAAATGACAAACCTCTCTGCGCTTGTAATCTATTCCACGGACAGGGTCGGTAGACTTTGATATCAGACGGTCATAGCTGAAGACTGTTTCACCACCATTTTCGTTGGCAGTCTCTTCCCGTGATACGTCAGGCTCAGTTCGCTCCCCCTCATCCACCATATCAAATTCTGAGGACCCCGCTGCTTCACCCTCTGCATCTGTTAATCAGCTCAAGTTGTTAATACGTACAGTATTTGGTATCAATCAAGATGAAGAAACAAGAACGTAAACACAAATCTCCGCTTACCAATGCGGGGACTTTCGGCAGCTAAAACATTAGACAATGCTGAAACAGCAGCTGCTCTCTGAGACCCTTGACCTGCACGAGATTGTGATTGTGGGCTTTTGGGTTTCCCTGACGTATTGAGTGCAGATGATAATGCAGCCAATGCCGAAGCACGCTGAGTAGGTCCACCATCACCAGAGCTTTGAGGCCTATCAGTAGACTAAAGAAGATCACAACATTAGTTGACTTGTCAGATATGCATTTTATTAATTAGTTAATAATAGTTGGCTAAGAAATGCTTAACTTACCTGTTTATCCTGGGAAGATGGATTAAAAGCGGATGAAAGTGCAGCCAGTGCTGATGCCCTTTGAGTTGGTCCACCATCACCTGAGCCCTTAGGCCCGCTCTGCAAGCAATTATTAACTACTTTACAAAACTGAAATTGGCTTTACATTTCCAAGTACCTTTTCCATAAACAATAGAGCAAATACTTCAAGAGAAAAAAAATGTAACTTGCCTCTGAACGCATTCCAAACATAAGTGAAAGTTTCTTCTGAAATGAATTCCCGTGAATCTGTTTCAAGGGCGAAGTTTATTATAAAACATCCTAAAACAAGTGTGAGAAAGGAAAGTGGTACGACCAAATGTGATAACACAGGCCAGTGTAAGAAATCAAGGAGAAATAGCAATGCTGGCATTTACCACAGCGATATAATTATGGAGGCGAGATAGAAGAAAGAAAAAGAACAGTGAAAAGGGTATAGGGTAGTTCTATCACTTCAACAATCCTCCTACTGAGTTTTCAGGGTTAACTTAACTTACAGGTATAGAATCACTTCAACAATCCTCCTACTGAATTTTCAGGGTTAACTCAAACTTACAGGTATAGAATTGATTGGGTTAGTTTAGAAAGTTGTGAATGTAAACCCCTAAAATCTAAATAATCCAGCTCCCAGATATATATTTTTTGGACAGTACCAGAACAGGAATGCCAGCGGACTTGATAAGAGGAGCAGATATTCCATGGAACCATGATAAAGTCTGGATAATTCTGGTACCTCCAAAGTGACTTCTCGAGATAGTCTATTTGGCCGCTCCGAACAAATACGACACCGGCTGTAGGATGATCTCAAGTAGTGTCGGTTAAAAACACATATTTGACTTCTTTAGGAACTTATCAATTGGTTCTTAACCTTGTTAACTATTCTCCCAAGCAATCTTTGGTAATGGTGATGGTTTTGCTTGATTCTTTTAAGCTCATGTAGTAACTGCTAGAGTAGGTGGTCTGGTAGAGCTAGTAGGCAATGTTTCTCATATTTCCTTCATTTCACTAGATTGTCCACAACCTTGGGATTCTCCATTTCAAATAAATGTCCATTGAGATAACCAGGGTGTAGTAAGCTTCTGCAATTTACGTATGCCGTTCATAGTAATTTTTTACAAACTTTTTCTTACATTAAATTATTTCTTTGATGTGTATGTGGTGGGCTAGGGATAGTTATAGTCAAATAGCGGAGTAATATACTTTACCTGCAAGCTTGCAGCCCCAGCAAAAACTTATGACTTTAAGGTTTTCAATACAAAGCTCAGCCATAACAGCCTTTGCTCTAAAATAAATATTAAGGTTTTGAATTAAAGAATACAAGCACTGACAACTTACAGGAAAAAAACACTTTACATACATGTAATGCTCATGGCACTTTTTTTTTTGAGACTATGGCTGTGGGAGCAGCTCATCAACCGCGGAAAAAAATCATCTTATTTTACATCAAATTCAAATTTGTATTCCCAAACGTTTCTGTTTTCTTCCACCAGCTATCATATTGTCACCACTTTGCACAATTTCTTTATATGGACGAACATATCCATGTTTACAGTTCGTCCAATTATTTTAGTTTTGATATCTGAGCAGAATTATGTCTAACCTCCCAAGTCCCTTAGTGGCTTGTATTAACCAATATTGGGCCAAATTAGTGAAAACAAAGTGTGTACACCAACTGCAGTTACTTCCCAAGATTCATAAGTTCCTGTGGATTAGTTTTCTAGATTCTTCACGTCGCTCACTTTGAATAAGGTACTGCACCTCCTGTGGACCAAATTTGTGCTCACTGCGATCACGATTTACCATATGCTTTCCCTTGAGCTCCCTCCATGGATTTTCAAGACCATCACCGAGCTCTGCCATATTTTTTTCTGGAGGGGCACCAAGGAGGCAAAGGGAGGTCATTGCCTGGTTGCTTGAGAGCTGATTTGCAAACCATTGGCATTCATCGACTTAATTATCTCAATAAGGCTTTGCAGATTCGCTGGCTCTGACTTCAGAGAACTGGGCCAATCAGGGTTTGGCCCAGGCTATCACCCTCTATCTCCGAGGAGGCCACACAACTCTTTCTTGTGGCGACCAAGTGCACGATTAGCAGAGATGATACGGTGAGCTTTTGGCATGATAGGTAGACTGAGGGATGCAGTGCTCACGACATCGCACCAAATTTATAACCATTGGTGAAGGCTAAGGTGGTAAAGGGAGATCAGTGGCGGACGCTCTAGCAGAGGGCAAGTTGATTAATGATATCAGAGGGACCCTCACCTTAGATGTGATCATTGAATTCATGGAGCTATGGAGGCTTATCCAGATGACACCGCCGCTGAGAGATGTGGAGGACAGTTTCACTTGGAGACTGATGGCATCCGTGAAATACACAACCAGCTCGGCCTACCAAGCTTTTTTCTTCGGTACAGAGGAAGCGGACTATGCTAGTGTGCTATTGAAGAATGCTGCCCCTCCCAAGGAACAGTTCTTCACATGCCTTGTGATTAGAGATCCACGTTAGACAGCAGATCGGCTCGCCTGAAGTGGAATGCAACACCCACCCTGCTGCCTGCTTTGCAATCAGGCTGCGGAGTTCATCGACCATCTCATGGTGCAGTGCTCGTTTGCCAGACATTTCCGGGGTTTTTTCCTCCGTGGCTTCAGACTTGGGAGCTTAACTCCAAATATGAACATCAACGCGAGAGAACGGTGGTGCTCGATAAGCAACAGGTTCGGACTAAGGTCAGAGAATTGACTTCTATCATAATAGTGGGATTCCACAATCTTTGGTTAGAAAGGAACGCCAGGACTCTCTCCCCTCTCCCTCCCGCCGTGCTCCCACGAGCACCTGGGGGAACCCTAATCGCCGCTGCCCCTCACCTCCTCCCTCTGTTCCTCCCCTGCCGCCGCACAACAGTGCCGCCGGGCAAAGCCTTCGTCTCCCCTCCGTGCGAGATCCATGGCTGGCGTGGGTCGGCCGCTCGTCCCGGGGAGGGGGCCAGCGGCGTTGATCCGGATCAGCGGTGAGGGCGCCTGGTGGCGTCGCGGAGGCGGCTAGGCTGGCATTTGCGGTGCGGCGGCTGCGGCGGCTGCGGCGGATTCGCTCGGGCCAGATCGGGTGGGGGCGGGCCGGCGCGCACTTGGCGGCGGCGGCGGCGCGCGCGTGGCGGCGGTGGCGGCCCTGTCCAGATCAGATCTGGTCTGGCAGGCATGTGGGCGTCAGGCGGTGCAGGGGTGGGCTGCGACCTGGTGGGGTCGTGGCGATGGCCGTGGACCAGGGCGGCACGCCTGCTGCTGCTGGCGGCGGTGGTGGCCGGCCAGATCAGCTCGGATCTGGACCATGGCCGCCGGCGGGCGGCTCGGGGCTGGCCCTCAAGGTCCAGGTGTGAATGTGGGCTGCCACGGCATGGTGGTGGCTCATGGCGGTGGTCCGGGCCGTTCCACGGCGGCGGCTGGTCTTCTCCGGCATCGTCCTGTCGGTCAGCGGCTCGTGAGGTGGCAGGTTGGTTGCGGCGGCGGCTGGCTTGTTCTGGCGGCGGCTCGCTCGTAGGCGGCATGTGTCGGCCTTCGACCCCTCTCCTCATCATACGGACGCTACTTTCATCGAAGGGCTGTCCTTCTCCCAGCTGCGGTCGATAGTCGTCTTGAGCCCGGTGCGGCAAGACCGACCTCGTCTCGCGCGCGGTGCAGACCGAGCTCGTCTCGCGCACGGTGCAGCAGGACCGACCTCGTCTCGCACACGGTGCCATATGACCGAGCTCGCCTCGCGCCCAGTGCTGCACGACGGGTCGATGGAGGCCAGCTTTGGCCGGCCTATTGGGTCTCAGCGCTGGGGGCTGCCCAGGGGTGTGAAAGGCGGGTCCTTTCCACTCGTCTCTTTCGCTGGGGTAGTTGCGGATCTCAGGTGAGGTGGTGTCAAGGTCTTGGATGCCAGGGCGGCGGCCTTGGAGGTGGTAGCGCGGTGCTTTTGGGCAGAGCACGTGGCTTGGTGCTGCCCGGTGGCCATGGCCGTGTGGGCGGCATGGTAGCCGGGGTGTGGCGTTCGGTGGTGGTGAGTGTTGGCCGGGCTGAAAACCTGTTCTATCTTCGGAAGGACCGACAGTGGCGAAGCTCGTTCCCTTCGTGAAGGCGTCGTCGCGGCTCTCACTGTCCGTCATGCTGCTCCAGGGGAAACTCTGATCCACAGATCGGGCGGTGACAGCGCTCCGGTGTTGTATCCTTCCTGAAGGTGCCGCCTTGAAGCCCACGGTTCATCGTATGCGGCTTCATTTCTTTGCGGTGGCGTGTTCCCGGTTGAGCCCCCGGTTGCTCTTGTAGTGCTAGGGGTGGTGTTGCTACGATCAGCAGCTATGTATCCTGCCTTGGGTGCGTGCGTGTGTTGTGGTGGCATGCGTTGTACCGGGTTGTTGTTGATCGTTGCTATGTATATAAAGCAGGGCGAAAGAAACTAAAAGACAGGAAAGATTTTCATATACAAAGCCAGCAATGCCCCTCAAGTAAACCGTTCAAAATATCTGCTACCCCATATAAATGGTGATAAATAGAACAGAGTTAGAAGTGAGAGAAAAAAAAAGTAAGATGCAATTGGTAAATAAGAATGGCATACCAGAGATCTTGTGTTATCCCAGGAGAAGTATGTCCTAAAGAAGCAAGGTTCATTCCCTTCACTGACTTTATAGAGAGGCACGTCAGGAGCAAGACCTTCGAAGGTCACCGCATGTTCTATGTATTTCTGCGGAGAAGTGGTTATTTATCTACGTTGAACGGTACTAATACAGATGAAAACAACAAAGATAATACTTCATATTATACCTCGCCAATTTCAAATGCCATTTGTTTCTCTTTTGTGTCCACACACTGACCCATCCAGACAAAGACTTCGGCATGTGTGTCAAGTACCATCACATCTTCGGTCAACAGATCATCTTGTGAAAAATTGTAAACTTCAGTTACCTACAGATACAGAAGCTTTTTCAAAATTTGCAATCCTGAAGAAGTGCTGGAGCATACAAAATTTAGGCTTCATAGAATAAGATGACAAACCTCCAGCTTGCCTGATAAGTGGCGCGACATGAACAATGAAAACAACACAACAGAAGATGATTAGGGTACTTAAAGAACATAAACTCCCAAAGTAGTAGCAATAAAAAAAACATATGGATTTAAGTTCAGGATAGAACTGACCATTCCTAAATGAGAATGTGTAGAGATGGGGTTCTCTAACAACATCCTGTGTGGCATTTTTATTTGAGTAATCCTGTTTTCCACCAAGAGCAGACCAGAAAGAAGAGCTTTCAGTTCCCTCCTTGCAATGTTTGACAGCAACGCCAGGCTGTGGTTTGGAACACATCACATCGCATAATTATAGTTAGCAATAAGTAGCTGGAAATTGATGGAAATATCAAACGTTCTGTAGTAAGAACAGGATATTCGAGGGGCTTGACAACCAAGTCAGCCTCGTTTGGAAGCAGGGATTTGCCCTGTTTCCTTCTGTAGGATGCAACTGTTTCCTACAAAATGCCCGCGTTCCAAACAGGCCTTATCTGTGACAGCAATCATGTTCATATTATTTCATATTCTCTAATGTTTTACTCATGAAGGTCAGTGTTTTTTTAAGTGCTACTCACTCCGATCCATATTACTTGTCGCTCAAATGGATGTATCTAGCACTGAAATATTTCTAGATACATCCGTTTGAGCGACAAGTAATATGGATCGGAGGGAGTACAAAATTTACGACAGAAACTGTAAACAACCATCTTAATTCAAATATTGCATTGCTTTCATGCAATTTATTAGGTAGAAACAAGTACCCTTCAATCAAACAGACAGATTTTGTGTAGCCTTTCCAGTTGTTTGTAACTTCAGTGTCACATGTGCAACTGGTGCATCTGTTATGCATAGTGGTTTGGTTTTAATATCAGAAATTGCATGAAAAGGCACTTAAAATAAAATGAAGAAAAATGTAGCTAAGAGCACTTTGGTATTTCTATACAAATTTGCTCATATTTGGCCACTTACAGCTCGAATATGGTAAAGTTGTTAACATGAACTACCTTTAGATAAACTTGGTCAAAATAAGACTGGTATTGATACACTGTTAAATTTTATCTTGAAATTAATTCTTCTAGTAGATTAGTCCAAATAAAAATTCGGGATGATTTTTTTCCTCTCCAGGTTCACCGTAAGTTCTGCAGAAGCTTTTCATTCCAGGTGAACATGTCTCATTTATATCATAAGGATCATAGTACAAGTCACGTACATACCGCCCTTACAAGAGTATATGGGACTCATGGCCACACACAAACACAACTAGATACAACTCAACAGATGTCATCTCATTTGATCTAAGGCCTAGAAAGATATTTTATGAGAATGAGAAAATGTAACATGAGGTTCACTTTCACAGATTTATCAAGTTCTCAATAGGAGCACAGCTTATCTTTTTTTTTGTAAACACGAAATTGCACTAACTAGAAAAGACAGAAGGGAAATAACAAGGTGGTATCTTTTTTCATACCTTCAAGAACTCAGCAATTTTTGCAGCCCACTGTTGTTGTTCATAAGAACTTGTGTTGCCAATCCATATAAACACTGAATTTCCAGATTGCAAGACAAAACAATTCGTGGAACTCAAGGATGTTGACACCTATAAAATTGTTACTGACAAGTTAATTAAAGGTAGCAAACGTTTGATTCGTACTACCTAAGGTTAGTGGTAAATATGTAAAGTTTTTAATGAGCAAAGTAAGCTAAAAGGTCATTCTGAAGAACAAGAATGTGGGCGACAGAGTTTTATTATCGGAAAACCAGTCCAATCTCTATCTCCACTATTTAGAAAGAACATAAGGTTGACGTTTGCTCTTCTTTCCTTCGTCCAAACCCCCACGTATGGTCAGCCCTCCCTCCTCCCAATTTTGATTTTTTCCCACTCCCATCTCTGGTTTTTCCACTGGTTTTCCCTAGTGCCCATTTCAAATGATTACGAAATAAAATCCATTTTTTCATAAGCAATCACATTAACTATAAAATGGCATGTAAGTCACGATGATTGTGTACAAAAACTCACCAAAATTTTAACGCGCAGATGCACAAATGATGGATGCGCAATCACAGGTTAACCTACTATATTTACTTCACAGCATTGCTTCCTAACAGCACGGGTAAACCACAATACTATGAATTTTTCACTGTTCACCATTACGGTACTCTATTATGAATCATTTATGCCAAATCATGAAACTACATTTGAGCAAAAAGAATCTCAGAAGCTAACTAAATTCTTAGTCATTATTATGATATGTCATCTTAACAACATAAAAATAAGCATTAAATACAGTTTCATAATTCCAAGAAATATTATCATTTTGAATCAAATAAGCACAGGTAGAGGTAGACCATACCTCATCGACTTGAAGTGTTTTATTGTTATGAATTGATGTTCCATTAATTCTAACAAGAGCGACACCAGTGCCAGGATATGTTTCATCTGGCAAGCCCTTCTCTTGTACAGAATTCTTGTACCCACAGCTGATTCCACCCTGCATGATTTTAGTAATATAAACTTAGTTGATACTTCCTCTGTAAACTTTTATAGGACTTTTTAGATCATACTTTAGTGATCTAAAAAGCCTTACAAAAGTTTACAGAGGGAGTATTTGACAATGTAAATATCTTCAGCTATACAGATCAATCCATAGTTTTTTTTTTTAGAACTATCAGTCCATAGTTTGCTCCTCACAGGATAGCACTTATTATGAACCCAATCAGTATACATTACTTGAGTAAGGTAGGAAGTAGAGACCATACCTTAAGAATAACCATGGGCTGGAAAAGAGCAATAAACTGTGGAGGCTCCTTCCCTTCATAAATACGACCCTGCAATACCAAATACAAGACATGTCAAACTCCTTTCTGGATATTTTGTGCAAATTGTCACGACATAAATACAGTACCAGAATAGGTCTTCCTTTCATTGAATTCCAAATTGTATTAGTTATTTGAAGAGCCGTATGCTGATCTTCCTGTTAGAAATAAATCACAGAGTAAGTTCACAGTTTTGTGGTGGGGTGGGGATTAATAACAAACCTAGCATAGAAATAACTAATTGTGCTGAGAAGAATAAGAATTCATTAAAAATAACAGAAAGGTCAAGAAGAAAACGTGCAATACAATCAATCAAATTTATCATCACAATGATGTGGTGATCACACGCAAAGTAAGAAAAGGCACAAAAATATGGGGCAATCTCGAAAAAAAGACGAGAAAGCAAATATAACCAATAGTAAGGTGCTGTGTATAAAACATTTGAGAACGGTGAAAACCCAATTACCAGTATACTATTCTTCCCAATCCAGTAAGTTAGATAGAATTCTTCTCTTTTGTCACCCGAATGATATGTGTAGAGAACAATATAACAATCCCCGCTATGAAATTTTCCAAGATCTTCCTTCGGAAGAGCAGTCTTAGCACTGCCATCAACACACCATACCTGAAATATGTGCACAATGTTTTTATGGCACTTTCCTGTTTCCAGTTGTGGTTATTAAAATAACATGTAAATTGTGATGCATGATAAGCAAAACCTCAAGCTTTCCACCGCCTTCTAGCAAAGGAAGAATTTCCTCATTTACTGCAGGGCTGTTTTTTGAGGCTCCCTTGACATCACCTTTTTTCTTCAACAGCGCTAGAGGAGAACGAAGTATTATCAACACCAATCAAAAGAGGAACTTTTTAATATCCCAATGTACAATAAAAAATAAACTACCTGCAACTTTTCCTCGGCCATCCTCCCCGCTGGCTCCTGCCGCGTTAGTTACAGGCCACGAATCAAATTTGGACTTGAACGTATGGTCCTCATAACCTTGAATTACTTGAGTTACTCTTGTTGTCTTTGGCCTATTTTGCTTAACAATGAATTCCTGCAAATCAAATATATAGATAGGATGACTTATTTGAACAAGATAACAAGCTCAAAATGATGTCCTGTGCGTTTACCTCAACCGCCACACTTGCAGCTTTCCTATCATCCACTTGTGTTACTCGACCAACCCATACATATAACTCGGACCCGCAGTCAAGTAAAAAGCATTTAGTGTTCTCAAGAATTGATTTTGTCAAAACGGTATCTTCTAACGTCAGTTTACCATTATTGACACTGCAAACATAACAGTTGACATGTGTGAAGACAGTTCAAGGAATGAATACAAAGTTGAGACTGAAAACTTGTAAAATAAATCTAGCGTGCAATGGGGCAAGCAGACCTACATATATAGTACTCCCTCCATCCCATAATATAAGATGCTATTACAACCGATATACTCCATATATAGTACTCCCTCGCATATTGGTTGTAATAACATCTTATATAATGGGATGGAGGGAGTGATAAACTTTACAGGTCAACTAGAAGTCTGCTGCCCATTCAGTAGATATTACTTGACTAACAGGAAACTGCAGAAACCTATATAAAGAGCAGGCTAATCTAAGAAATGGTAATGAAAGATATCCGAACACCGTCCAAAGGATTTTAGTTTCAGCATAGAGTCGAGCTATTTCAATGGCTACACTCTTTAACCATAAACTTCTATATGTGAAGTTTCTGTTTTACGAAGAGAGGTACGAAGTCTCCAACTTCTCAACCTACTGACTCACATCTCACAGCCCTCACTTCTGACTCTCCAATAGGTGTAACTGCCTTTTGTAGGTACAAATATGTAATTCACTATAACAATGCATAAGTTCAAAATTGATGAGTACCTAATTGTTGGTTAGTTTCATGTTGCAATCCTTTTACAATTATTTCAAAAAAAATTATCCTTGTAGAGGTACCTGTAAAGCTTTGTTGGTGTAGCTTCAAGAATAACATCATCATCACTTATAGCTTTCTTCCCTATTGGTGCAAAACCACCAAAAACCACCCAGAATTCACCGGAATCTGATTCTGCTTGCAATTTTCCATCATCTATTATAAAAAGCAACTATAAGTAAATACGTTTACTTGCTTCACTATGTCACAAGTATTTAGTTAAAATGTTGGCCATCTCACCAACAATTGCAACATCACAAACTCCTTCATGGTACTTGTCCTTTAAATGTTGGATCACTTCCAGTGCTTTGGCTCTTTCTTGAATATTGGAGTTAGCACCATTGAATTGATATATTTTCTTTTCAGTATCTAAGATAAAGACATCATCGTGGTTTAGTGAGGAACGAGCAAATGGAACCTGAATAAACAAGACACTGTACGATTAGTTCTTGATATGTATTTCTGGAAGCACCGGAAGAAAGGAAATGTATTACACCTCTTTAACTCTGATAGCTCTCTTTCCTTTGCAAATATACAGCCGTGTTTCAAATTTGTCCTCCTCTGGCTTTCTAAACCCAGAAGCAAAACCTCCCTCCATGGGTATAATGCATGGCTTGAAGTATGATAGGAACTTATCAGATTCATAGCCTTGGGGTTCCCTGTGCTGGACTGCACGACCCCCAAGCATGGAATCAAGTTCAACTGTCTTGATTGCTGAAGTGCCAGCTTCATCCTGTATGACAAGATATCAAGTGAGGATGAGGACTGAGCTAGAGGGAAATGCCATTGTGCTCGGTACAGAAAAGGTTTTGGTATTATAGAAGATGTACCTGACTAGAATCTTTCCCAATCCAGAAGTGAATGTCAGAGAGGTAAGCACCGCCCCTGTTACAAGTCGTCTAGCAGAAATATGAAAACCAGTAGTATTAAAAAGGGTATTCTTGGTGAGAAGAAATAGGAATTCAGAAAGATTCCTCTGAAAGAAGAAACAATCACCTGCAGAACAATATATGAATCTCCACAGTAGAATTTACCATAATCTGACTTTGGCAAAGGAACTGGCTTAAAATCTTCAATCCGCCATATTTCTGTCCCACTGTAGTGTTGTTAAGGGGCATGCAACATAAAGAGGCAAGGGAAGTATTGGGCGAAAGCAAAGCAACAGGGCCTATTTGAAGAAATGAAAAGGATACGGTTTTTGGCCAGCTCCTTGAAATGCAGGATCAAGCACCTGTTTTGCACTTGACATTTAGAAGCAACCTTAAAGGGGACTCCACCACACAACACCTGGAACTTGTATACTGAGAAAGGAACCAGAGAAACACTATAGTTAGCTCATATAGAAAAAGGAGAACTATAGTTACTCTATATCCTAGATAGACATGGATTTGAATAAAATTAATAAGATACGAACGATATTAGCAGCTGGGAGAAAGGAATCAATAATGTACTCACTCCGTTCCAAATTACTCGTCGCAGAAATGGATTTATCTAGAACTAAAATACATCTAGATACATCCATACCCGCGACAAGTAATTCGGAACGGAGGGAGTAGTAAATAAGAGAAGAGCAGCCGTGACAAATCACGAGGCATGGACTGCAGTATTTCTTGCTCGGACCAAAAACTGCAAGTCTGATGAGAAGACCTGAACCTAGGCATGCATGCGCAGAACCAACGACCATGTGTGGGAATCGCATTGAAATATGTAGGCGATCGGAGACGCAGTGATCAATGTCCGATGAGCTCGGCCAACCGGATCATTGACGACAACTGACCTATATCAGACGTTGGCCGACCGCTCACATTTAACCAATTGCATTTAACCCCTATTCCTGACGATCGGTGGATGAAACAAACCACAATCCCAGCCTCGAAACGTAGTGGGGACCTTTAATCCCACCCGAAATACGACACGCCGGCCGGAGCCACACACACTAGTGGGATCAAATGACAAGGAAACTAAACCTTGGCAGCCCGAGAATCGACGAGAGATGCATACCTTGGAACGATCCCGGTGGGACGGGGCGCGAGGGATGGATAGATGGGGGGATGGATGGAGGTGGCAGGAAAATGCGGAGGCGAGGCTGGCTAAATAAAGGAAGGAAGCGGGGTGGCGCTAGCTATGATTTGCTCCCGTCCTCCTCCTCCTCCTCCTCACCACCACTCTCTTGTGTCGTGGGCGGGCGTGTGTGGGATGGAACGGAGATCTAAGAAATACAACGCAGCGGCGTTTCGGGCCTGGCTTTTTTAAGAAAACGCCCCCTGCCTATTTATACGGCAGCGGCAGAGACGGAGGAGCGAGGGAAGGGAGATGGATGCGGAACTCTTAAACCGGCAAATAGATCCGCCCGTGCGGCCCTGCGGTTGAAACGCTGCTACCCACACACACACACACACGGTGTGTGATGATAAACACTTTTCTTCTGACTCAGAGCTTTATTTTATTTCAAAAAAGAGCTTTATTTTATTATTTTATATTTTGTTTGCTGGTTGAAAGAAATTTTTGCAAGATGTTAGGGTTACAATCGAGAGACAGAAACTCCTTAATACATTATGGTCCTTTATGTAACCATATAACAGTATCGTATTCTATGAGATTATACGACACCAGTCGATCTGCTACCATATTTTAAACACGTTTATGTTGGGAAACGTTGCATGAAAACAAAAAAAATTACGCACAATCAATAATCTATCCATGAAGATGCATAGCAACGAGGGGGGGAGTGTGTCTACATACCCTCGTAGACCGTAAGCGAAAGCGTTTCACAACGCGGTTGATGTAGTCGAACTTTTTCTTCGCGCTCCAACCGATCTAGTACCGAACGCACGACACCTCCGCGTTCTGCACACGTTCAGCTCGGTGACATCCTCTGCCTTCTTGATCCAGCAAGACGGCGAGGTAATAGATGAGTTTCGGCAGCACGACGGTGTGATGACGGTGATGGTGATGTGTTCTCCGTAGGGCTTTGCCTAAGCACTACAAAAATATGACCGATGGAGCAAACGGTGAACGGGGGGCGCCGCACACGACTAAGACAATGTTCTGTTGTCCTTGTGTGGCATCCCCTCCCATGTATATATAGGTGGGAGGGGAGGAGGCAGCCCCTAGGGCGCCCCAAGAGACCTAGCGGCAGCCCTAGGGCTCTTGCCTTGCCCTGCCCCCCCCCCTTTCCATATATAACTGAGGGGGAAGGAAAGAGGGGGGAGAGGGAAGGAAGGGGGATCCTATTCCTCTCTTTTCTTTCCCTTTCCCCTCTTTCCTTCTTCTCATAGGCCGGCCCATAGGGGGTTGGTGCGTTTCCCCTCTTGGCCCATAAGGCCCATATTTTTTTGCTAGGGGTGCCCGAAAGGGAAAATTTTGTTTTTGCCACTCTAGATTTTGCCAATTTTTCTTATGCCACTTTAGATTTTGACATTTCACTTTTGCCACTCTTAGTTTTTGACAATTATCACAATTGCTATTTCCATGGCAAAAGCAAAATTTGCAGAGTGGCAATTGTGATACATTTCAAAAGCTAAGAGTGACAAAAATAAAATGAAATTATTTTGCTTTTGCCATGAAATGTCAATTGTGATAATTGTCAAAAGCTAAGAGTGGCAAAAGTGAAATGTCAAAATCTAGAGTGTCATAAGGAAAATTGGCAAAATCTAGAGTGGCAAAAACAAAATTTTCCCTGCCCGAAACCCCTTTCGGTGACCCGATAAGTACCCGGCAACCCCTGAAACACTTTCGGTGTCCGAATACTATCGTCCTATATATCAATATTTACCTCTCGATCATTTCGAGACTCCTCGTTATGTCTGTGATCTCATCCAGGACTCCTAACAACATTCGGTCACCGAATCACATAACTCATATAATACTATATCCTCATTGATGACCCACAAGTATAGGTGATCTATCGTAGTCCTTTCGATAAGTAAGAGTGTCGAACCCAGCGAGGAGCAGAAGGAAATGACAAGCGGTTTTTAGCAAGGTATTCTTTGCAAGCACTGAAATTATCGGTAACAGATAGTTGTGTGATAAGATAATTCGTAACGAGTAACAAGTAACAAAAGTAAACAAGGTGCAGCAAGGTGGCCCAATCCTTTTTTAGCAAATGACAAGCCTGGACAAACTCTTATATAAAGCAAAGTGCTCGCGAGGACACATGGGAATTGTTGTCAAGTTAGTTTTCATCATGCTCATATGATTCGCATTCGTTACTTTGATAATTTGATATATGGGTGGACCAGTGCATGGGTGCTGCCCTTCCTTGAACAAGCCTCCTACTTATGATTAACCCGTCTTGCAAGAATCCGCAACTATGAAAGAAGAATTAATATAAATCTAACCATATCATGAAACATATGTATCCAAATCAGCCCCTTACGAAGCAACGCATAAACTAGGTTTAAGCTTCTGACACTCTAGCAACCCATCATCTACTTATTACTTCCCAATGCCTTTCCATAGGCCTAAATCATGGTGAAGCATCATGTAGTCGACGTTCACATAACACAACTAGAGGAAAGACAACATACATCTCATCAAAATATCGAACAATACCAAATTCACATGATTACTTATAACAAAACTTCTCCCACGTTCTCAGAAACAAACGTAACTACTCACAAAGCATGTGCATGTTCATAATCAGAGGAGTATTAATTATCATTAAGGATCTGAACATATGATCTTTCACCGAATAAACCAACTAGCATCAACTACAAGGAGTAATCAACACTACTAGCAACCCACAGGTACGAATCTGAGGTTTTGAAACAAAGATCAGATACAAGAGATGAAATAGGGTTTGAGAGGAGATGGTGCTGGTGGAGATGTTGATGGAGATTGACCCCCTCTCGATGAGAGGATCGTTGGTGATGACGATGGCTTCGATTTCCCCCTCTGGGAGGGAAGTTTCCCCGGCAAAACAGCTCCGCTGGAGCCCTAGATTGGTTCTGCCCAAGTTCCGCCTCGAGACGGCGGCGCTTCATCCCGAAAGCTTTCTTCTGATTTTTTTTTCCAGGTCAAAACACACCATATAGCAGAATATGGGCATCGGGGGCCTGCCAGGTGGCCCACAAGACAGGGGGCGCGCCCAGGGGGTAGGGCGCCCCTCCACCCTTGTGGATGGCAGGTGTGATAGAGGCAAAGGTGTCCTGTCTTTCGATGAGATGGTGGCTATCGTTTTGGAGGAAGTCGACTTTGACGATCCGACTACGAACATGCGAGGACATCGCGCCTTAGCAATCGCTAAACCAACTCTGAGAGGTTATTGACCACGCCGGAGCACGATCAACCTGACCACGAAGGTCTGTTTCCTGCAGGCAAACGAAGAACAAGCAAGAAACTGGGATTGCAATCTGGATATTGCGAATATAAGAGGAAAGCTTTATTGATCAAGGTGGGGTTCGGTGATGCCTTTGTCTGGTCGTTGAACACAAATGAAGTTTGCGATGTTGCAGTTATGGCGAACTTTTATCTAAACAAAACCTGAAGTCTAAACGACGCCCTAAGGGTTGTATATATGGAGGAAAAGGGGAATTTCGTGGCCCTTGGAGGAGGGGTCCGGAACCAAGCCTAACTCTTGTTTCCCCACACATACGGACTCTAAAAACAACCTATTCTTAAGTATTTCAAAAATACATGGGCCTGGCCCAATAATAAGGTGATGCAGCACCTTGAATAGCCTTTGGACGAAATTTATGAAGTGGCATCTTGTATATTTCGTCCAAGGCTTCATGCACTCCTTATGGTGGCTTCAAAGTCTTGAAATCATCACTTGTAACTCCGTTCCGGATCCCCTTGCGCATGCCATCATCTCCATGCTTGGTCTTGCTCCAGTGTTCATCCCTCTTATCCATGCCAGCCCCTTCATTTGTAAGCAAAACAAATCTATCCAATTTAGGCAGCATCATATTCTCATGAACATTAGAATCATTACCAAGAAATGAAAGTACCTGATAATTTAATTGGCGTGCGCGAGCTCTAGTAATTGGTCCAGTATGTATAGCAGCAGGGGCTGTGGGTGTAACAATGGTATTAATATCCTCATCATCCTCCCCTTCTTGAAATGAAGTCTTCCTCGACGGAAGCTCATCTTCCTCACCCAAATAAGGCTTTAGATCTGCAATGTTAAAAGTGGGACTAACCCCAAAATCTGCAGGCAACTCAAGTTTATATGCACTATCATTTATTTTCTCCAACACCTTAAAAGGCCCATCAGCACGTGGCATTAGCTTTGATTTGCACAAATTA